TATACTCTGTACACAAGAACCTTTGTTCCTTAATTAGAAAAAGGACTAGAGCTCATTAATTGTGGGTACAAAGTGATGTCTGCTCAAATGGAGAAGCAATAATACAGTTTAAATAATGATTGATCCTACATTTTAAGTCTTACACTATTTTGTACTGATAGTGATAAATAAGCAACATATAATGCAGGTTGCGAAGCAATGTGTGAAGATTTTTATTGAAAAATCTCTTTTTGCAAGGATAAACCTGTGTCGGGCACAATAAATAAAGGATGGATGGTACATACACGATGTCTGCCGTTTAGGAAAGTCAGCATTTGTCAACAGAGCACTGTAGCAATGGCTGAGATACTCGAGTTCACTCCACCCCATACTTTAGAAAATGAAATAATCGTGAGAGCTGTGCAGTCAAAAGCAGTTTGGATCTTGGCCTTACAGAGCTATTATTGTGATGAAAAGAATATTTTAATTACTGCTTGCAAACAGGACAAGTTAAAAATGTTTGAGTATTTTGCAGAGTGGTTTTTTTTGGAGACAGCTGTACTTTGTTCCCCGAGTTTCCTTGTTGCCTCCTTGGGAGGAGAGGGATGGACTTGTGAGGTTTGATCCAAGACCCTTCACCAAAAGGCTTTGGTTTATGTGGTGGCTGCAGAAACAGGCTGGGCTGAGATGTGCACTGCAGGGTGAGCTCCTAGCAATGGCCCTTCCCAAAAATCCGGAGTGTGTTGTGCTGAGCTTGGCAGTCCTGCTGCCAAGGTGGGATGCCAGGATGGTGCTTGTGTGGGTTTGGAGTTCGAGTCTTGTCAGCTGAGGCTGGACTGGGCAGAGCAAATCACTCACAGGGACTGATGTCCCTATGGCTCCCCAGCCTGCAGCTCCATCTCCTCCACAAATCCAGCAGTGCCCATTCCTCTCCTTGCCCCACCTTGTTTCAAAGACTCAAGAAAGCCTGTCTAATTTTTCTAACCTTAATGAAAACACACGTTATCAAGGCAAACCTTTCCCATAGGAAGAACAGTAAAGTTAGAAGATGGGGCCTGATCTCCTGCTGTGTTTCACAAGTAATACGGTTAATGCTAGACCAGGGTGTATATTTCACTCAAAGCATATCAACACTGAAAAATCCCCAGGAAAAGTGGGGTTTCATGGTGTCCTTCTCTGCTGTATTTCTCTTGGTGAGAAAGAAAAATAGTTTTTAAAAGATAAAAAACCTGTTCTTCAATTGACTATGCAAAAATCTTATTGCAGTATTTATTCCAAACCTGCACACATAATGTTCAGTCAAGGAGAAAACAGCAAAAAACAGTTGTTGATGGACTTAGGCGAGAACTGGATTAAATAAGCATTAGTCTACTGAAGCTGATTACAGGAATATGAAAATGCAGTATCTTAATGGTACATATTTTCATGTGGCAGCTCAGTTGCCTTTCATTTTGCAGCTAATATGTCTATTCTTATGAGTCATTTACTTCTTTAATTACCTTTTGCAGGCAAGGCACCATGGTATATTAATGTGAATGATTTTTACTGCCAGTTTATCATACAATGCCCCAGAAGTTGAAAGGCGTAATTGACTTGGAAGAGCAGCTCATGAAGGAAACAATATTTAGTTGACAGTTTTCCTTGTACTCTCTGTTGACGTTTATGAGTTTACACTATGCTAAAGGAGTAATAAACACAATTTTCTTTCAATAACAGGAAAGAGTCGCTTTTAAAATACATTTGTGGAAAACAGATTTGTTCATTTCTTGAATAATATAAAATAATGCGTTTTCAGTGATGAGATGTATGTAAGTCTGTCAATTGAATTAAACCTTGGAAGGTGCATTTATAACCTGCCTTAGAGCATTAAAAGATATTAGGGTGCATATGAATCAAATCAGTTAGATGAATATTTAAATTATACACAGATTTGGATAAATCATATTCAGATCTGCGTGTTAGATTATTTGGTGGCCTTCTCTTGCCATGGAGGGTGAAAATTTGAAGAGGGAATATGAGGGACGTAGGCTCTGTTTCTGTAGATGGAAGAACTCTCATCAGAAAGCTCCTGATAAACCCCGATTAGAGGATTATTGCAGAAACTTTCTATAACTTTGCTAGAGCCAGAGGCTTGAGGAAGGTTTAAAATCAGCTTTGCAATCCGTCAAAGTCCATTTTCTCCCGGAATGCTACTTTTATTGAAATGACCTTGTCAAATCGCAAATTCTTTTTCCCAGGCATCCCCAGGACCGTGTGCAGGTATGATTAATCATCCCATCCCGCTTTAATTAATTTAAAGGCGCCCATGGCCGGGGCGGGAGGAGACGCCGGCTGGCGAGGGCAGCGCTTCCGCGCTCGGCTCGCAGGGAGTTAAACTTTTCACAGTTTTCCCGATTGTTTGCAGTTCAGCCCTCTGCAACATAATGAAAGTTTTCGAGCCATCTGTTGTTAAGCTGGCGGTGAGCAAGGCCAGTATATCCAAACAAAGTGCTGGCCTGCTGTAAACTGAACCTGTCAGTTTAGCATAGCTGCGCTGACCTCCCCGGGCGCGGGGCAGCGGGTACCAGGCACTGGCTGCCTGCTCAGCTTCCAGGGGAACTTCTTGGGGGGACCATGTTTACTTTTTCCACTTAGCGTTCCTCCCACAGGCTTGGACTAGTTTATACTAAATCTTTAAATTGACACTGTCCTATTTTTTTTTTCCCTCTCTCCCGTATTCCGAACTTTCTCCTTTTTTCTTAATCTTTCAGGCCGTACGGAAAAAAATGTCTATTAAAACCCCACAGTGGCTGGAATTTGAGCTTTTAAGGAGGTGATAGACTGGGGGGGATGACACAGGACAACAACTTCTGTGATTCTATAGCACTGTGTGTGCTTGAGTGCCGACGAGATTCTCTCTCAAAAGAAAGAGGCATGTTCCCAAGTATCCCAGCTTGCTTTCCAGCTCCTATTGTTCCCTTTGTTCTGTATTATTTAAGATCAGTTACTCATTTGCTTCAGAGGGTTGGGAATAGCAGGCAAGGTAGAGCAGAGCAGCCAGCATCTATTGTCTTCCTGGGAGCCACAGTTTACATCCAGAGTGGCTGGAGCAGCCTCCCCCCTGCTTCTGTTTGCTTCTGTTCAAGGGCTTGGTAGCTCCAGTGAAAAGTACTAGAGAATTTGAAACTTTCTGAGTGGAATTGCCAAGCTCAGACTGGAAATGCCCTTTATTTGCAGGGCTGTGTGGCAGGGAATTGCTTTGCTTTCTCGTTCCTATCGAATACACGTTAGTTTGGCCTCATCTCCTCTGCCTCAGTGTGTTTGTGCTTTTTCCAGTCTTCCTGTCTCAGTTTGCCTTCCCTTTTTCCTTCCTCCATAAATGTTATTTTATTTATTCCTTTTTGTCTGGGATACAACACGTGCCATTTCTCAGCTGGTATTCACTCAATACAAGTGATTTTAACTGTTTTTTAGGATTGGCAACAAAACTTGAAGCTCCTGTGCCAGGAAAGTGACTATTTGGTGTTACCTGTTTTCAGTGTTTGTTTTTTGGACTAGACCTACAGTAAATACCTTTATGCTACCGCTGTTGCCAAATTCAGTCTTTGCTTTCTGCACTTGTGCTGTACCTGCTCACTGGTCTTTGGCTGGTTTCAAGTGTGTTTTACTTACCTCATGATTCTTGGAAAGCAAATGTGATCGTCAGTGACCCCGAATGCTGCAATTCTCAGTCAGGAAGAGTTTTGCCTGAGGAAGAGCTGCTGAATTTGTGCCGTGTGTTAAACCAAACTGTGCCTTTGCAAGAGTGTGTTGCAGCCAGTCCGTAACTTAACAGTGTGGTGCAAATGCACTGGAAGCTCTGGAAAAGCAGTAAAAGTACTTGGCCTTTCCAGAAGACCCTTCCAAGGACTGGTGCCAGTGCCCACAAGAGGGTAGGAGTGCCCAGGGGATGAGGGGGAAGGAGTATGACAGTGGTGAGAAACACTCAATTTTAAATTAAAATGACTGCACTTAGGAGGAAACCCCATCCAGCTCTAATCTGTTTGTAAGGTGACTGACACATAAAGTGCTTTTTGTTTTAAGGTAGAGGGAAATGCATTCAGGATAGAGTTTCTGGTATAAATGTCAGGTGCAATGCAGTGCATGCTCACTCAAAAAGTCAAGCAGATAACCTTGGCATTTAGGGACATTGCCTTGTATAAAACGAAATTGTATTTTGTTTTTAAAAAGGAGGACTACATTAAGAGGTCACCTATTAGCTGTGTTTTTGCTAGCTGTCTGAAACTCAGCTCTACTGTCTATTAAACTCAAACCACTATGTAAACATTCCTGTGTTGTTCCTGGTCTCTACAATGGCCAAGGGGATCAGGTTTCACCTGCCTGCACATCTTCAAGCAATTAAAGCAATTAGCTTGAAGCCATTTCACATTCAAGGTCTACTGTGACATTCAAGTCCAGAAAAAGTCTAGGGGAAAAAGAAAAAGAGGAGTATAAAAGGCTGCTGTGCAGCACATGCACACAAATAACCTATGAGGGGGTTTTGGACTTTACAACAACTTCCAAATGCAGTCAGGAGGCTTCGCAGCAGGCAGGCAAAGTTGCTGCTGAGAAAGGGAAAAGATAAAGAAAAAACACCTAATGATCCTTTAAATTATACCCAGGTTTTGTGGGAAGGGAGGGGGAGGAGAAAGAAATAGCAACATGATTTGGAATGATATTTGTGTGAAATAATACTGCGTTGGCCTTATTTACTGATATTTCTCCTGGCATGGACATCATATTTTTCTTCTCATTTAGGTGGGGATTTATATTTGGTGTTTACATTGTAAAACTACACTCACTCTGGCTAATGTATCCCTTACAATGACATTCAGCTCAGAGTTAGTGATTCCAACAGTAAGTCTTGAAAGCTGCTATTTTTTAAAAGGTTGGAGCAGATTAGTGGTGACCTTAAAAGATTAAACTAGTACAGTTTAAAGATAAATAATCAGCCTTTAGCACATTAGATAGCTACATAAGCATGACAGAAGGTGACTTTCTTACAACAGTTTCAGAATCCAGGCAGCATTTTTACATTTGAAACTTGACTAAGGCAGGGACCAGTGGTTTGCAGAAAGCAAGACATAAACTGATTGCACCACTTCAAATTGGTTAATACAGTTTTAAATCCACAGTTTTCCTGTTGGTTTTATTATTGAGAAGAGGCTAATTTTAAAAGCTGTGCCTGCTGCAAAAGAAGATCTTGCTCTGCCGTCCCGGAGGGTGTTCTTAATCAGAAATAACCGCAGGCTAAATTATAATGTGGAATCCTGCTGCCCTTTAACCTAACACTGCTGCTCATTCAGTGTTTGTTAACAAATAGCTCTAAGTACAAAATTGTTTGAGAATTACTTTTTCATTATATTTGCTGACTTCAATTAGAATAAGAAGCTTATTTGGGGAAGAAAAATTAAAAATGTATGGGTTTCTAGAGAAAGTTTCAGCAATTGTTTCCCGGCAAGTGTCGCCTTTGGAACGTAGCTGTGGACTCTGTGGCACATGTAATTCAATTTAAATAAAATTACCTTCTGAACTAATATTTCTGCACCAGTGGCAGAGGCAGAGCTCAGGAGCATCCCAAGACTCTCAGCCCTTGGAAGGATGAACTAGCTAAAATGGTGGCAGGGGCTCAGGCCAGGGCCCCTTTTGCACCTTGCAGGGGATGCAATTCCTAATGGTGAGGCACCAATTCCCCATCCCTGTGGTGTTGGGGAGGGCTGGGCTATAGATGCGAGTGGCACAGTGTCCTATTTTTATTTCACTTTTAATAACACGTAATTGAAACGTACACTTGGCAAATTAATTGGTGAGTTGAAGGTAAGAACTGCTGAGTTAGTAGAGACAGCACCAGTCCTGTTCTTTTTTTTCCCCTAAGTTTACATGCTGGAGCGGAAACGCTGCGGTGCTCAGAAAGGAGGTGATGCCTCTGTAAAGCAGATCTTTCCAATTTTATTTTTTTTTCTAGCTTAGTCTTCTGTTTCTATGATCTGCCTTTTGAACTGTTTTTGTGGCTGATCAGTTCCACCTAATATGTCTCTTGATTTCTGCTATTGTAATACTCAGACGACATGCTGTTCTCTTCATTTTTATAAGCTTTAGATGCTCCTGCCTGTCATACTCTGGCGGTTTATCTTCAGCGTCTGGATTTGCTTTCAGACTTGCATGTCTATCAAGCTGCTGTTGCTTTGAATGTGAGATCAAAAGAAGATGAATTCCAGTAAAAAATTTCCTTGTATGAAGAAAAGATTGGGGGCCTATGTAAACATCCCACTGACAGCTCCCAATGAGTTATTTTAGCAGAGCATTAGCACCCAGAATGACAGACAGTCCAAGACTACATGCTAAATAACAAATCAGTCCCTTCAGTGGCAGCAGCACGTTGCCACAACAGCAATACATTTTCTAAAGGAATCCTGTTCCTCTTTTTTATTGAATATGGCTGTTCGACTGCTCATCTCTTCACGAGCTGCCTTTGAGTGCCAGCCCCAGTTTACTTTCTCTTGACAATATCTGTGTCATGTCACCAATATGACAGCAGACAGGGCTTTGATAATTGGGTGGGGAGACGGTTAGTTAGTCATCTCCAGTTAAATAGGTAGTTTGTTTTAGGGAGGGAAGGAGACGATGAAGGGGAGGGGTGGCATCTGCCGGAATGCTGAAGTTACACTTTCAGAGATGCTGAATGCGAGTCCCTGCGCCCAAGACAAGTTGTGTTTTTTGGGCGGTTGTTTATATTTCAGTTCACGCAGTTAGAGAAAACAGCTCTGCAGCCCGGCCAGCCTCCCGAGCCGGTTTCCAGAGCAAGTCACAGCACTGTCGAGGGTAGGAACGTCAAGCTTGGCTGGACTTCCGTGCAAATCCGAATTTGCCTAGATACAGAAGCGAGGTGTGCTTCTGGCTGCTGTTCGGTCTAGTTGGGGATATAATTAGTTCTGCCTGTTTCTGCTCACAGATGGAGGGGTTTAATAGTGCAGAGTCACTAGATTTTTATGCCGGGTGTAGTGCTAAACTCAACTTTGAGATTACCTGTGAGCTCCAGCTGATCTCACCGCTTCGCAAGGGAAGAATTAGGGAAGGAATGCTTTGCGGTTTCTTTGTCGTTTAGTAAAAGCAGAGGTTGCTACTGTGGAGGCAGAGCCCGGTGGCTGCCGCGAAGGGCAGTGCTCCAGCGTCTCCCTCCAGCCTGTGCTCCGGCTGCACGGCACTTCCTGTTTATTCAAACATCTTTTTACCATTCTTCAGCCCCCGCTTCACAGAAACAGCCAGAAACATCTCCAGCGCGAAGACGGAAATCTAAAGGCAGACAGTAAGAGCTCACTCTGTTAAACTCTTCATTTTCTCTGCGAGCGCTCAGAGGAAAGGAGCGTGCAGGCAGGGCTGAACTTTTAATGTGCTGCCTTGCGCAGCAAGGAGCTTGGCAGCTTGGAGCACAGGAGAGGGGAATTGCTTTGGTTTGAAGCAAAAGCAGCCAGTTCAGGTTGTTTGTGGCAGTGTTGACAAGGGTGGGGTTTTTGGCGTGGCTTTGGAGAACTGAGTCCTCTTTTGGGGCACCTGTCACCTTGCGATGTCCCTCTGGCACAGGAGCAGTCGTGTGCCACCATCCCTGCTGCTCGCCGGGTGCTGCAGCTTCTCCTTGCACAACTGCCAAAAATACCTAAACAACAAATCCTCCCAAGAAAGGGAAACGTGGCTGCTGCTCTGGGCAGCAGAAGAGGTGCAAACCTACCAAGTGGCTTTTTTTGTTTTCCGCAAATAGTTTGCATCATGGCTCTGGCACCGCATGCGAACCAGCCTCGCTAATATTTGTACCAATTTCATGCTAATAAAAATCAGGCTGCTGAGACAAGCATGGCTATTATCTCATTCATATGACTATTGTTTAGACCTGTGGTACTACAAAAGGAAAGGGAAAGCGTGCTCACGCCGGGTAATGGTTGTTAACTTCTCACGTGAGGGATTTTCTCTGCAGTTTTTCAGTATTAATGATTGTTGTATGAATGGTCTTCAGGGGTTGTTGGAAGAGAGTGTAGATCCTCTGGGTAATCCATGTCACAACACGGATGCTGAATTTTTTCCCCCTCTGTTCAAGTGACTTAAAAAACTGCTTGATATTTCTCAGTGGTTTCTCCCCCCGCAAAAGTCTGCCGAAATAGCAGGTAACTTTTTTTTTGGCAAGCATTCGTAGTGCTCGTATAGTGTGAAACATAAGAGAAAATGGAAAATATGCTGCCTGCCCTATGGAGAAAACCCATCCTCCTTGAGGCTTTTCCTGCCTCTCCAAGATCCAAATACACTTTAAAATTTTAAACTGTAAACCCCCATCTTCCTAGAAAAGAGAGCGAGAGAGAGAGAAATCAAGCTGTGTGTTCAGCCAAACCGCAAGTACAACAAACATATTTTGAAAATATATTGCTAGTCTGGCTTTTTAATGTTCAGAAGTTGTTCTACTTTGCAGAAAAAAAATGGTGTTTGCAACTGCCTTAAGGACAATTTGTTTAACAGTAGGAGTAATTTCATGGGGAAAATGGAAAGAGTGACTGAAGTTATTTACTCAGATGTTAGTGTAGGTGTGGGGCAGAAAACTCTCTGTGGGAACAGTGGGCTGCTTTTCTTGGTATCTTAGTCTATTTGATGACCATCAAATTTCCCAGCTCACTGGTTTTGTTTTTTCTGGATGGCATGTTTGATTATTTATCAGAAGGGAAAGGGAGTAGCTGAAGCAAATAAACATGTGACCAAGCTGTGTTTTGTTTTCCACTCAGAAGGCCGTGCCCTTTAACAGATATACAGAAAATAATAAACGTATTGTTTTATGATAAAAGGAAATTATGTGTATCATTTTCTTTAGCAAGGCCATTAACCCCTTGTGTTCGGTGGTCTCCGCCTTCTGGCAGCTTGTTGGGCTTGCAGCTGGGAATTAAAAGCACTTAAACTCCCCTCTTGCCTGGAAGGTTTCCATGGATTACTGCTCCAGCCCTTTGGATTTGCTGGATTTATTGTGTAGTCATACAGCCCTGGTCATCTCCCCGGTCCTGCTTGGGGTGTGAGTGACTAAATGAGAGATGCCTTGAATTTTCAGAAGGGTGCTGATTTCCAAAGAAAACCTTGGCGAGAGATGCTGGGATCTCCCAGCCTCCGGTGCTGGTGTCTGTGCAGTACGAGGGGTTGCAGCTGTGTTTGGTCCGTTGCAGACAGTGTCAATTTATGGGATTCTCTTTTAAATGCCAGGTGTCCAGCATTGTAGCGTGTAGTATTTCCTTTGTAATACCAGCTTTGGACAATGCTCATTATCTTCCCTGAAAAAAAAATCAAAAAAAAAAACCAAAAACCAAACCAACACCCTATAAACTAAATCACTGTCAGGAAGTAAAATACAGGTTTGCTTCATCTCCGGGAAGCATGTTGCATGCTTTAGCTGCTTTTATGGGATTAAAAGAAACAAGTTAAGACTGTCATGCACATGAAAGGAAACCGAGATGTGGTTTGCTTCACATTGTGCAGGTAGGTATAAATTTAATAGACTGACTTGCTTTCAGAATCTCTCTTTGTCTCCCCGAGTCGCATGTCAGTTCCAGCGCGTTGATGAGCTCCGCAGTCCGTGATAGCGCCTGACTGCTGCTGCCCCGCAGGTGCTGGATCACCAGGAGGGTCCTCCTCCTCCTCAGGGATGTGGGTTTCCTCTCAGGAAAGGCTTCACAGCGAGAAAGGGAAAATTTGCCTGACATCTTGAAGTTGTGCTCAAGTCTGTGCGTCGCTGGTGGGTCTGGGCAGGAGGAGGTGGATGCTTCACCTCCTGGTTCTGGGAGTCAGCGCTCCCTGGAGAGCCCAAGTGGATGGCAGGGGCTGGAGCTGGGGGTTTAGATTTGAGGGACTAAAAAATGGCAGTCAAAACAGCAGGGAGAGGAAGGGCTGGCAAAATAAGGACCTGAAACTTCAATGTGATGTAAAGAAGAAAGAGGAAGTGAGCAGCCGGGGGCCAGGTAACATGGGCAGGGGCTGCGCTAGGGGATGTGGCTGGCCCCCCTTGCCCCGAGGGTTGAGGAGGCTCAGGATGGGCTGAGGAATGGGCTTTGGGATCAGAGATGTAGGATTGAGGTACCTGGAAAGACTGAGGAGCAGGAGCAGTTGCATCCTGTTGGACAGGGGATCTCTCAATCCCTGGCTGAAGTCCTTGGGCAGAAGCCTGTGAAGGACCTGTTCATGGGGGAAAATGTCCTCCCAGCCTCCAGCAATTAAAGGTTGGTTTGTGCCCTCAAGCATAAACATTTGTACCTTGATTTCTATTTTTATCTTTTCAAAGGTAGCTGTAAATGCTCTCATTACTATCTCTGCAAGTGTCTAATCCTTTTTTTGCATCCTCCTCGTGCTCTTGGCCCTGGTGATATCTTGTGACAGTAAGTTCCAGACAGTAATTATGAGTTGTATATTAAGAAAGGAAAAAAAAAAAAATCGTTTTATCTGCTTTATTTGTTTTTGGTGGCTGTTGCTTCCTGACTTTATTCAATGTCCCCTTTCTCTTGCATTATGAGAAATGGCAAAAGCACCAGATGTACCCTCTCAGGCCAAGTCACAATTTGTGTACTTGTTATCATCTCCCCTCTTACTCATCTCTCGCTAAACTAAACACTCCCACCCTTATCAATCTTGCCTCGCATCTGCTGAGCCCTCTAATCATTTTTGTCGCCTCCATCTGAACCCTGCCTATTTTTGCTTTACCAGAATCTGTTAAAATTAAGGTTTTTACAACAGGTTCTAAATTAGGTTGTGCCATAGAAGTGCAGAGATGTGATTTGCAGTTTTAGTTTTCCATGTTTTGGTCTGTACCAATGTTTTGCTTCCTTCATTCACCCAGCAGCAGCGAGTGTCTGATGGAGCGTGGTGAGATGTCCACAGTCAGGGGCTGTATTTCATGGGCCTCTGAGTACAAGTTTGTCATGCAGTGTTTTGGAAAACAAGCTTAAAATATGTTCCCTGTTTTGTTGACCACACAGGGAAGCGCGCAAGCAGCTGTATGCAATATACTATTTATGTTGTTGCAACAAAAAGGCCCTCTTCCTTCTCCCCCCCACCTTATCCCTCTTCTCTTCTCTGTTAAAAAATATGAGAACTTCCCGTGCTTTTGACATCCAAGAAAAACGCGGCTCAGCAGTGAATACTCCTCCAAATATTCAAAGGTCTGGTTCACTTTTTGCATAAACACAGTAGTTCAGAATCTGATCTCGAGCCTACAGAAATGAGCTGGAAATCCCGTAAGATTTTTTTTCATCGCTCAGGAACAGTTCAGTTCTGGTTCAGTTTGAACGGGGAGCCAAGATTTGTATCCTTTCTCGTTTTACCAGGATGTGTTGGCCCATCCCTCCTTTCTTGCTGGTACAGACTGCTACATGCTGTGAGTCTTGGCATGCCAAAATAAAGAGAACCGTTTTTAATGTTTGGGAACTTTTTGCCAGATACTTTTTAAGTGGCTTTGATGAGTCCTGACTGTGACTCTTTAAAAGAAGGGACAGAAGGTGTTTTTGCAGTGTATTTTCATTTATGCCTCAAAAAGGTATTTTTGTAGCCGTTGTCCCTGTTGTTGCTGCTTCAGGGTTTGCAGGTTCCCAGCATTGGCTGAGGCTGATCTCTCACCCTGCTCTCCTTTGCTGCCTGCCCCTCTCATCCCTGTAGTGTCTCCAAGTATTGAATAAAATACCTCACCCACCTTTTCCCTGAAATTGGTGGAGTTCATGAATAAATTACAAAATGGAAATCGGTTTTTTTGGAGGCAAACTCTGTTTTCCCCCTGTGTGGTGCTGGGTCCTCATATGCAGGGACCTTGCCAGCCATGGGATGGGCTGTGGGATGGCAGGGCAGGGGCATGGAGCCCACTCATCCTGCCCCTGGCAGGAGTAACCTCAGTGGCCACAAGGACGAAGTGCAGCAGAGCTGGGACACAGGCAGCTCCACCCTGTGGGTTTGGAAGAAAGGGTTTCTGTTTCCAGTGCCTTTTTCTGGAGGGAATCTCCTCAACTGGTAGCCAGGATCTATTCCAGAGGAAAGAAACTAAGCCTTGTGGAAGAAAAATAAAGACTCATCTTCTTTCCTTATGACTGAACTATTCTAGGAGATGCTTCAGCACGAGGCACATTGCCAGCTCCCTTGCTCCAAGTGTGCCCCTGTCATATCAGGGACAGGGTGTTTGTACATGTGGACCTCAGGTCCCTTCCCTTTTTCCAGCATAAGAATCACCTATTATTCACTTGTCCAGACCAGTCTGCTGTGGTCTTCATGGCCAGCTGGCCATTTTATTTGGTGAAGGATTGCTGT